TTGGTGGCTATCAGCTCGGCCAATCGGCTGTGGTACCTTATACATTCCATCCCCATCCCTCCCGTAGTTGTAATGGTAATAGGGACCTTTAGCAACCACGACGGCGACGGCAACGAGGACGTGGAAAAACAAGAGATCTAATTGGCAGAACAATAGCCCAGCACGTGCATTTTGAAACTTTGTACATTTCTTAGCCGTCCTATACAAAACAACAACGTGAAATCGCCAAAATTTGCGTCGTCTGCGAACCGAAACCGCGACGGCAAATTATTTTAATTTCCATTTGGAACTCAACGCTGCTTTTATACGTCATGCTTAGGTTGAGCTGTGGCGTCGTATGAGACAGTAAGCTCATGCAGCCATTTTTAAAATTCTAACTAAGAGTAGAAATTCATTTTTTAATCGAAGTCTTCCTTGGCGTTGCCGTCCTGACTGCTTAAGGTCCCTAATGATAATAATAATGATAATAATAATGATAATAATAATAATAATAATAATAGTAATAATGATGATGATGATGATGATAATATTTTTGTTTTAAAAATAGGCCTATATTCACTACAATCACTAAAATATTTACAAAAATTATGATAAAGTACTTTAAAATCGAAAATACAGTAAAATGTTTGATAGAAGTCTAAGAAATGCTAGTGGTTACACTCTTCGTTTAATAATGGCGATAACAATGATGATGATGCTTTTAAAAGAAACAAGTAAGAACGAAGCAAAATCTTATTCCTGATAATAATAATAATAATGATAATATAATAACAGTGATAATAATAACGATAAAAGTGATTTTTGTACGGTTAAGATGCACTTGATAATTTCAACAATATTGTCGCGAACATCTGGCATATGGACAATCCTCATCAGGGAAGCCTTTTTCTAAAGAAGTCTTCCTGACCCTTTTCCGTCGGTTAACATTTACATTTCGACCCACTCTTGACTGCATAAGGACTGTCCTACAATCCGACTTTCATTTTTCTGTATCATTTCGTATTAGATGTTCTTCACGTTGCGTCAAAATGGGACCGACCCGAGTGGGAGAGGACTGAAGAGCGGGAGTCTTTACCAGAGTAAGTTTGATACACATGGCGAACGAAGTTCAATTTTATATCCTGTTAGAAAAGCTAATTTCACCCCAAAGTCTCGTTTTTAAATTGATAAGATTTAATTACGGACCCTTTTGTTACGTTACGTTCCTTAGACCCGCCATCAAAGACGATTCTCCTAAGAGACCCGAAGAACATATAGCTGCTTCTGTCGAGACCCCGCGAGTGGCGGAAATAGACGAAAGTAGACGGAAAAAGCTTCGGGAAATCGAACTTAAAGTTGCAACGTATGCTCAGAAACTGGAAGCAAAGGGAGCGAGTGACATTGCTCAACAGTGTGATGTGTACAGGGCCAAGTTACTCGAGGTTAGTGAGGCCCTCATGGAGCAGACAACTCTGCCCACTTCATCACATTTTTAAATCTCTCCTTGGCGTTTTCAGTTTTCAGACTCACTCTCATCTTTTTCTTTTCATCAGGCTATTGAACCAAAAGAAGTTAAAGATAAAAAGAAGAAGGGAAGCAGTCATACCAACTCGCCGTCCGACTCTCGCCGGAGGAGGTCTCGAAGTCGATCCAAGTCCCCCTCTGCCAAAAAGCGAAGTCGGCGGTCCCAGTCCTCCGAGAGTCGTTCGACCTCGAGATCTCCCGAGAGGAGCGGATCGCCTTTGACTACCTCGCTGCAGGTACTGATATTTTGGCGGGGAGGCTCTTGTGAACAGTTTTTAGTGGATTTTGAAAAGAACATCATGGACCCACCAGCTTTATTATTTGAATGGCCACCTACTTATTTTCGTTTTTCTGTTCTTAGTCTTTGAAGCATTACGAGTCACGCACACCTTCGCCTTCGAATACCAAACGGTCAAGATCCCGATCCCGCAGCCGGAGCTCATCCCGCGGACGAGCGAGGTCCCGATCCCGAAGTCGCTCTCCTGGCAGCAAGCAGAGGCGTAAACGTTCAAGGTCACGGAGTGGTTCACCTTCTAAGAAAAGCTCGTCCCGAAAGAAGCGATCGAGATCCCGCTCAAGATCACCCTCCCGAAAGAAGAGTAAAAAGAAGAAGAAATGAGTCCAAAAAAGAAAGGAAGAAGAGGAAACTTTTTTGCTGGACCGTTGCGGAAAGAAGCGGCATAATTGTTTATGATTCTGTGCTGTAAGATATTGAAAGATAACGCAGCTGTGATGTGTGACAAGTCGAGGCCTGCGTGGATCGCGCACGTGGGAAGAAGAGGAAAATTATTTCGCGCACGAAGTGCGACCTTTCCTTCTCTTACGAACGCAGTTTGTGCGTCAATTGATTTTCCTTCCTCCTCTTTGTTTTCATGACGACCATGCAGGGCACGCTCGTTGCTGGTTACCTGTCCAAGGTAACAGGGACCTTAAGCAAACCACGACGCAACGGCAAAGAGAACGTGGCAAAACAAGAGATCTTATTGGCAGATAAATAGCTCAGCATGTGCGTTTAAAAAAATTGTACATTTCTGGGTCGTCCTCTGCCAAACAACACGTGAAATCACCAAAATTTACATTATCCGAGAACGAAAACCCCGATGGCCAATTATTTAAGTTTAAATTTTTAACAAAACGGTACTCACATACGTGACCTTGGGGTTGAGGTGTGGCGCTGTGAAAGACAGTAAACACATCCAGCTATTCGCGAAATTCTTACTATCAATTTAAATTTATTTTTTAATCGACAGTTTTCTTCGCTGTTGTCGTCCTGACTGCCTAAGGTTCTTAATAGGGAACTTAAGCAGTCACGACGGCAACGCCACAGAAGACTTCGATTAAAAAATGAGTTTCTACGTTTAGTTAGAATTTTGAAAATGGCTGCATGTGTTTACCGTCTCATAGGGCGCCAGACCTCAAACTCAACATAACGCGTAAAAGTAGCGTTGAGTTCCAAATGGAAATTAAAATAATTGTTGGTTTCCAAAGGACGGCTAAGAAATGCACAAAGTTTTAAAACGCACGTGCTGGGCTATTGTTCTGCCAGTTAGATCTATTATTTTTCCATGTTCTTGTTGCAGTCGCCGTTGTGGTTTGCTTAGAGTCCTAATAACTGATATGACACGGTGAGGAAGGACACCGTGTCACCACTTTTTTCGCTTTATCTACAATTGTTTTTTTTGTTTTTTGCAACTCCGGACGACCAGATTGACACCGAACTGTTACTAGAATTTACTCGCAGTCTTTCAAATAAAATTATTGTTGTAAAAGAAAGTTGCGTATGATTTTTATCCCAGTGTCAGTGTTGTAACAGGAGGTGGGCTGTTTTCTTGCAGAAGAGCCGGCGGAGGGGATGTACGGATATAACTCGGTTTATTGCCACTATGGGAACGGCAGGTTCTATTTATTTGTCCGGAGATTGTCAATGTCGTCTTAGGGACTGAACAATTAGTTCAAAGACTTGTTGATTTCTAGAAAATCGTCAGTGCAAATTGTTGTCAGCAGCGAGAGCACTATCAATTCTTTTTCCGTTTCCGGTTTTTCAGTAATTGAAGAAGGCAGTCAAAGGGCGTAGCGTGCATTTTATTACCCAAAGGTGGGAACAGCCCCACAGATGTGGTGATGCACATTTGGAAAACATTACTTTACTATGTTTTTGTAACTTTTCTCCCGAGTTGAAAGGTCAGCTAGTAAGGGGCCGACCATTTAACTCTTGTGGGAGGGGGGGTGGTTTTGAAAAAAATTTTCCTGCAATCGCATGTTGGAAGAAAAACATTACATGTAGCCCAAATGTAACAGAAGAAAAAGAGCATTTAGAACGGAAAAAAATATCCTGCACAGCAGATTGCTAGAAAAATTTCTTGATGACCAGAAATCCTCCACCCTCCCCCCCCCTCCTCAGAAAGTTAATGGTCGGCCCCTAAGGAAAGTGTTTTCGAAATCGCAGGCTCCCCTGGGTTAAAAGAATGCACTGGAAGGCGACACCTGCCAACTGCGCCCGAGAAAAAATTATAACCAACTACATGAATGTTGTTATTAACCTATAGATGAGATCATGACAGTAAGCAGCAGGTAGAGGTGAAACGATGATTGTCTGTGACGTCATTACTGTTTACGCCTTTCAATCTGCTCTGTCAATTCTCATAAAGAACCAAAGTGGGTTTGAGTGGATCAGTTAAAATTATGTAGAAATTCCAAAGAGAAGTGTCAGAGCTGCTGAGGAGTTCTGAAACAAACTTACAATTTCGATAACACTAATCGTGGTGGCCGACCCCTCAAAGTGCAAAGAAAATGCGTTTTATTGAAAATATGGTTATGTCTTTCAATTACGATCATTGTTTTGGTAACTCCATTAACTATCGCTTCTAAATGTTGAAACAACGATCCCTGGGTAAAAACTATTTGACGTGAAAACTTGAATTTAATTGTTTTGCAGTCTTATGTCTGCCGAATCTGTTGTAACAGACGCGAGTCTGCCCATTACGGGCTTTATCTGTCGAAATAAGTTTTAGGTGTAAGGTGATTTCACCGGGAACTTTTGTAAGTCTGTTCAAAAGGTATAAAAGCATTCATTTAAAGAATCGTTTTTGCGAAAATATTTGAGCTTGTGTATGCACCTACGTATTCAACGCGCTAGAGAGAAAAACATCCATTTGTGTCCTGCACCACAAGCTTGAAAGGGCTTCCTATTACCAAATAAGGAGTTGTTTACTAAAAGGGATCAAAAGAAACTAATTTTGATAAAAAGGAAATTAGGAACCAAACCGCTTAAGTATTGTGTGCCTTCAAATTGCTACTGAAATCTTAAAAAGATCACTGCAAACAGTGACCTCAGAGGTTTTTTGTATTGTCTAATTATGGAGTACCTTTGGGAACCTTCAGATTGAAACAACCGTTGCAAACTGTCAATCAAATTATGAAGTGCCATTTCAAAGCTATGCCTTGTAGTCCTATCCATTCCCATCTCGATCTTGTAAGAGTCGTCGGTGTGATATTTCTTCTCTGCATTGACTGTAAGTGGACAACATCATGCTCTCGAAATCATCCTGTTCAGAAAAAGGATCTGAATCAAGGCAGAAACCCAAATGCGCGCGCTGTCGCAACCATGGTATATACCCTGTTCCTCTGAAGGGCCACAGAAATGTTTGCCCCTACAAGATGTGCAACTGTAAGTATTGTATTTTGATTTTGGAGAGACGCTTGGTGTCGATGAAGCCGCAGCGTCAAACAGAGGGAGTCAAAGAGAAATCGTCAAAGAAGAAAAAATCTGCAAAGAAAACAAAACTGGTAGATGTTGCTGAGGAGAAAAAAATGGAGCAATCCTCAATTGAACCTGCCAAGGTGGATGCCCAACCAACTTCGCTCTCACATAGAAATGGTTAGTTGTTACTAGTTGATATGTTTTGGTAGTGAGTTATGTTACTTTGAAGTTCTTTTCCTTACAAATCACGCTTGAAAAACGAATTGAAAGTGAGGACCTGATTGACAAAAGGAAAGGTAAGTGTAAACGTCCTGAAAAGAAAACAACATTTACACGTGCTCGATACGGTATGCTCAGGATATATGAAAAGAAAAATTGCGTTTGCTTATGCACCTTCCAACGAAAAACTGTGTCCTTTAACTGCTGGTCATTAGCTCATTTCGACTTGTTAATCGACCCAAATCGCTCATTAAAGCGCGCGATCTTAATCAAATGTTAACAAAAACATATCCGTATCTCAAACAATTCAAGTGTAACGATTTATGAATGGTCTTTGCTTCATGCTTTTTTAAGTTTCGACCTTAATTTATCTCATCACCTATAGTGGGCATATACTGAGAAATGTTCAGCAAGCAACCGTGGAGGATAATCCTACTCTTGTACGTTGGATCAACAGTGATCTAATCGGCCAGGCGAAATATAGTGCTCCGTCTTAAAACTTATCTACGTTGTATCGGTCTTGCCTCTACATGCATATACTGAGGCCGACCTGTCTAGAAACCGACAAGAACTCTGCAATGTAGATAGAAATCTTTCGCACTTTACCTTTTTTTTTTCCCACGAGTTCACATGCAGTAAAAAGAGACAAACAAACTAACGAACAAAATAAAACGAAAACGGGAAATTATTAAAGAAACGAAAGACGATTACTATTGTAGAGGAAGTATTTTGCGGGAAAGCCCTTAAGCTTAAATAGATTTTAACAGAAATCGTAAGCAGAGTGATGAACATTCAATTTAATTCACTTTCTGACAAGATTGTTACTGAGATTTCTGGCTGCCAGGAAATAGTACGTCAGCAACAAGCTGAAAAATAATACCGTCTGCAGTTGCAGTTGATTTCACAACGTGCAAAAAAAAAAAAAATTAAAAGAAAGCAAGAAGAAACACAGGAAAAGGGTTCAGGAAAAGCGGCTAGCAATCGGCTTCAGCAAATGCTAGACTGAAACATTTCAAAAGAAATAGGGTAAATTTTAGTCTTAAGACACGTGGTGATCATGTTGACATAGATGCCGTTTCTTTTTCCCTTTCACCTTTAGGACACGATCCAAAACCTACAGTGAGCTATCTGCCAAGAACAGTAAACACAGGAGAGGTTTTGGATACTAAACGAAGTTCTCCTGGCTTAACAAGAGAGCAGTCAAGATATTTCCCTGAATACACAAGCCTGCCCAATCCACCGCTTCCTTACTATGGTTATCTGCCACAGATGCGGAATTTGAACCCTAGCGCCCCACCGAACGTGACCATCAGTCCCCCGAGGTTTCACAGAATGGTGATCCCGGAACAGCCGAAGTGGTACTTGAGTTACCCACAGTTGGATTCTCCCAATTACATTGCACCACATTCTCAGGTAAGGGACAAGTCGCTCATTTTTACTCACGTTGTTACTGCTGAATAAATTATTAAAGAAATGATAGGTAACAAACGGAGCCGATAATTGTAAAACAAATTCTCCTTGTAATTACTGAAAAAATGTGTAAAGAACAGTTTGGAGAATATAGGCATTCACTCTAAAAGTGTCGAATTAAAGGGTTATGAAACAGAAAGGTGATAATTTTATCTAAATGAAAAAATGTATCTGACGTCCGAGTGAACTAAATATCAGTTAGTTATTTGCTTAATATCATAGGTGACAAATTACTCCTTAATTTTGGCGCGAAAATTTCAGCGTTAATTTTTAAATTTCACATGTGAAATTACAAAATTGCCATGGTAACATCTCTTGTAACAACAACAACAACAATCCTTATTTGTACTCACTCTTGCTCAGAAAAAGTTACAACAAAGAGAATATTAAAAAGTATAAGTTAGAGTACTGGCTGCCTGGAATAACCATAGGAGCTATCTCCATCATAGCCAAGATGGCGTCGAGATTTAAGGCGGTGACCAGTGAAGAAGTTACGAAATTAAATGAAGCGGCCGAAAATTTAAGTACGCGAAAGAGCACAATTACCTGGGTGCGAGGTTTTGAGAAATGGTGTGACGAAAATAGCCTTGAGAAAAACCTGGAGATGATTCTTCCCGAGCAGTTGGATAAAGTACACGAGCGATTTTACGCCTCCGTGTGTAAACAAGACAGAACCGATTACGAACGTGGGTAATTTGTCACCCACAATATTAGAAGGTAATCAAATGGTTTTCTCGTGAAATTAGGAAATAATTTCACTCGCGTTTTGTCAAAATTCTTATAATTTCCCGAGCCTCAAGGCTTAAGGGAAATTATCAGAATTTTGACAAAACGCGAGTGAAATTATTTCCTAATTTCACTCGTCGCCATTTGATTACGCATACTAATTTGTTTTTTAGGGTTTTGCTTACAACCCATCACCACTGACTTTGAGCCTTCAGCGATCCCAAGAGCCTTTTCTGAAAATGACTGGTGACAACTGAACCACATGGCTTGAAAAGAAGCAAGTTTCCCTGTGGAGATTCCCTGTGTCGCTATCTTACTTTGTGATCATGAACTAAAAATCAGGGTTTGCGAAAAGTTGGACTTTGGTTTTCCCACCAGATGTGCCCCTGCATTTCAAATTTAAGTTCATTGGTGTTTCAAGAGCTTCACACTTTATCAGTGTGCTGTTGTCAAGAACTATTAAAGAAACATTTTACTGACCTCAAGAGCAGGTTTCTGTTTATTCCCTGCGATTAATGGAGGAACACAAAGTACGTGGATTTGCAAGAGTCACCTACCCGTGTTGGTTGACATAAGCTACGTTTTTGTTACAGTTTTGAAAATGTTATTTAGGCAAATGTAAAGTTCACACAACAATGCCATACAAAAGAGAAAAAAAAATGACCAAACATTGGAAACAGTTTGGCGTTCGCAAATATCTTTGTAGACAATGAATATTTGAAAAGACAAACTAAACAAGACTAGAAACTTGATTCAAAGGTTACTCTTCTTTGCAGGATTCTATTCACACTTTTACCCTCTGGAGTGACTTGCATCTTATTTTTCTGTACAGTATCATCCCTGAATCAAACATTAAGGTCACCAGAATATAAGAGATGATCACCAACTGAAGAAACTCTTGATTGTGAAACAAATTCTCTTTGCAATACCTTAGGAGATATATAGAGAACAGAATGGTGGATATGGATGCTGATATTGGGGTGTAAAAGGTCAACACACATGGGTATGGACAATGCTTCGTTGATGTTTCTTTTTGTCCACTCCATCTTTAGAAACTTTGAAATATTTAGTAGCCATGTTTAGACCCTTTCAGTGTGTACTTAAAAAATGGAACAATACCAACCATTTGAGGGAATTGAGATAATTCCTGAGTAAAGACACCCTTTTGCCACTTCAAATACCAACCAAAGGAGCATTCCATTTTTCAAGGCACCCTCAATGCTTTAAGTGAGGATGCCTAAGATCTTTTCTTCAAAATATCAGACACAATTTAACATTTTGAGTCTTTGTGCCAACTGGAAAAAAAACCCCTTCTTTAAAGAAATTATTTCTTCAAATATCAGTAACAACAAACAGGGGGTTCATATTTCCCCTGTATCTAAAGAGTGGGCAGAAATATAATTATCTAAAAGTAAACACTGAGCAAAAGAAAAATAAACTTGAGATAAAACAAATATTTAAAAAAAATTACACAAAAGAACATTCAAGCAGCACATCTTGCTTATCAATAAAAGTCATTTCTCACTATAAATATTAACAATTTACAATGCCTGTAATAAAAGTAATAATTTCAAAATATATTAACGAAAGCAACGTACTTTGCAGTAATAACAGTAACAAGTCAGCCTCTTTGGATTCCTGTGCCACAATAGTAGAGCTGTTAAACTCAAGATAATTAATCCAGCATAAAGCCAAAAAAGGTGAGATCCTAAACTGACACCAAGGTATAATGGTTGTTTACTTTTTATAATTTAACAAAAGATAACCCTGCATGTATGTGAAAGCCATTTAAATATCTGCTTGGAAGGAATATAAAGCATAATAACATACACAACCATTTCTAGAAGAAGGAACACCCTGACATATACAAGCAAAGTAGTTTTCTAGGAAGTTCTACAAGAATTATTTAAAAGATGGTTAACTGCATTCTGTAGACTGTGAACTTTTTCCCTTGTAACTTTTTAACAATTGTAAATAAACAAAAATTTATATTAAACATCTTTAAAACATATTTTTATCTATTGTTACAGTTGTGAGTTAAATTTCAAGCAATCCTTTTAATTGCCCTTCTTAACTCTGTCAAATATTTAACTGTTTATACTTAACCTATTAATAGGCTAAAATATCTGTTACCTTTGCTATCAATGACAATAAATTCAAAACATGTTTTGCAATAATCATTGAGAACCTGCATTAATTACATGGAACAATGATTGGTCAACACAACTCCTGACCTTGTCTAAAACTATCACCTAACTCTGATGAGAATGAAGTAAAGCAAGAAATCCCTAATCTTATGTCTCGTGCCTCCTTGAAAAATCTGATTTCAAAATAAACATCCACCAGAAAAAATGACACTACAAAAGAAAGTTCAAACACCACAAAAGAGCCATTGAAATAGTTTTCTTGGGCATATCTGACTTGCCCAAAAGTTTAAGCATTTTTTCCAATTTCATGTCTGACCAGATATTTTGGATCAACAAACAGCAACTACGCGACAAAAGAAAAAATTCCCTGACAGGTAGGGCAGGTTTAGCGTAAATAATGACAACTCTGCATTAAATAAAGACGGGTTGAGCTCCTCAAACAAATTCTTCTTACATACATAATAAGCAATTGCCTGTGTATGACTACATGTATCACCATGTTTACTCCTATGATCATTGACACATTTTATACACTTGGTACAGTGGTTTCTATCTTTGTGCAATGCAGCATTCATTCAGTCCCACTGGCAGTGGGTGCAGGTTGCGTGGTAGGAGCAGGTAACTTCAGGTCAAAAACCTGCCTTGCATTTTCAGTTGAGGCACGAGCTACCTCTTCAGCATCAACTCCAAGACATTTTGCAACAGTGTGGGCCACAATGGGAAGAGTACAAGGCTCATTCCGTCCCGGTTGACACCTTTTAAGAAGTGACTTGCAAACATCATCCAACTCCTTTTCAGGAGCATTTGGGATCATATAAGGAGCATCACTTTCGAGAAGAATCCTGTCCAGTGGCAAAACACCTTCTTTGAGAGCATCTCTTAATGCTTTGCCTGGACTCTCTGCAAACATGAAATTATAATTTTTAAGTCATTCCTTTTTTCTTGTTTAGTTTTCCCTGTTTTTTTGCCAAAATCATGACCAAGGGATTATTGCAAGGATACAATGTTAAATTCTCAGAAGTCGTCAACAAATAATGTCATCACATTACAAGAATTACAAGTAGCTTTCAAGTCTACAACTTTACCAAGTTGAAGTTGTGAAGAAAATTACCACTGTCATCTGTGAACTTATGGGCCTTGCTCATCATAAAGTCTCTGCAGCACAGTGGTAGAGCATCAGAGCGCAAAAAATCTGAAGGTCTGAGGTTGAATTCCTCATGGGGACTCGTAACTTTTTTGTTGTGAAAAGATGATCAACATCTTTCTTAAGAAACAAAACTGTTCTTAAGTTTTTCTCTTTTTTCCATTTTTATTGCAATTTGAGGTATTAGATGATAAATCCATCCAGGGTTAGCTAGCAAGTATGGATTTACTGGTTGGAGGTGTGGTGGTTGGTACATTGGACTCCCCATCAAGGGGTTCGGGTTTTAAAGTGCACCTAAACCCCAAATTTTTTTTTCGCTTAACGAAATAAGCCTATTTTTTGGAGTATTTCTGTGCAAAAATTTTTTAATTTGCTCAAATCTTTAATTTTCTATGCCCAGTCAAAATACGGAAAATCGGCCGCCATCTTGCCCCACGACCGAGTTTAAAGAAGAATGGCTCTAGCGGGTAATGTGACGTCAAATCGAGAACACGAAAGTCTGCATCTCACACATTTTCACTTGTTTGGGAAGATTGTCGTCGATATTGTCCGAAATATGCCGACTAAGTGTGTTGTATGAAGATTGTATGAAGCGCGATACCCTCTTGCAAATTTCGCACGTTGCTACATCCTTCTACAACACACTTAGTCAGCATATTTTCGGACAATTATCGACTACAACCTTCCCAAACAAGTGAAAATGTGTGAAAAGCAGACTTTCGTGTTCTCGATTTGACGTCACATTACCCACTAGAGCCATTCCTCTTTAAACTCGGTCGTGGGGCAAGATGGCGGCCGATTTTCCGTATTTTGACTGGGCATAGAAAATTGAAGATTTGAGCAAAAAAAAAAATTTTTGCGCAGAAATACTAAAAAAAATAAGCTTACTTCGTTAAGCGAAAAAAAATTTTTGGGTGTAGGTGCACTTAAGATTGAGCCAGGTCCTTGTGTTGAGTTCACAGCACCTCTCTCTACGCAAAAATATAAATGGGTGACAAGGAACAGCAGGGAAGCTAACGAGGTGATCTGTAATGGAAAAGCATCCTGCCCAAAGGGAGTAACAATACTGCTGGTACCTTCATTTTAAGAAGACTGAGAAAAGCTTCCTTGTGGGCCATTCAGTTCAGGATATAGACTTTGGACTTACTGGTCAGTACCCCTCAAAAGTAACTTAGTTGAACTAACCTTTGCAAATAAAACCACAGATTCCAACATAAAATCCCATGGCAACATAGGCACTCATTTCAGAGACGCTACCAGTGAAACAGTGAATCACAATGGAGGGCAACTTGCCACTAAACTGACTCAAGACCTCAATAAACTTCTGGTGTGATGCCCGCTCATGTGCTAAGAGAGGTTTCTGAACCTCACAAGCAATCTCAACCTGTTGAGTACAGTTTACATTCATGTTATCAAAGAGATAATATAGCTGGTTTGGTCCACAATTCCAATGTACTAAATACCCATGGGCTCACCTGCTTTGTGAATGCTTCAACTTGTGCCTTCTCATCTGAATAATTTCTGTGGAAGTCCAAACCAACTTCACCAATAGCAACAACTACTGGGTCTTTAGCTAATTCTTCAATCTCTTTGGCTGTTTTTTCATTCCATTCTTTTGTTGTGAAATGAGGATGTACACCAACAGATGCATACAAGACACGTGGGTGTGCTTTAGCTTGAAGAACAGCTGACTGACTCATCTGTAACGTGTTACCTGTTAGGATCATTTGTTTGATTCCCGCAACATCCGCTTGTTCTATGACATTCCGTATATCTCTTGAAAATCTGCAGAGAAAATGCAAAGTAACAGTTAAGTTGATTTTAAAATACAACCTACCTAAAGCTTTAATCCTTATAATTTTCTGTGATTTAAGAGCATTAAGAGATCTGAATGTAGATGATCTATTTAATAAATAATTAGGCCTTTTGTAACTTAATTATGTTTTACAGTAATAATAAACCTTTGAATACAATTATGGAAACAATAGTGAATCGATGGAATAAACGATTACATTCAAAACCTAACTTATTACATTTCACCACACAATAACAGTGCTTGACTGATTGTTTTGAACTAAAAATGCCTGACTACAGTTGCTTTTACTTGGTGTAACAGACACAGTTGACATAAAACAATAGAGAACAAAAGACAAAAGAATGAGGAAAATAATAGGTTAATGAGGCAGTACTCTATAGCCCATTGCAGAAACGTGGGAGGACTGGGACAAGTTTCTTATATTGATTACATTGAAAATCTAACAATTTCAACTGAAATGTTACTGAATGAAAAGCTACCCAGCCAAGTTTGAGAGTTTTTAGCAGAAAAGTGTCCAAATTGGAGCCTCGCAAAAATTCCATACAAACCCTTAAAATTTTTTGCCCTGTCTACCCAATCCATACAAACTCTCTATTTTAGGTGATATTTGAAAAGCTGTTATTTTGCCATTTTCCTCCTCGAAATACTTCCATTCTTGCTTAAGACTCTCAAATTTAGTTGATCCTTTCTTTGAATATCTTAGATTTTCAAACAAACGGAAAACAACCACACTCTTTCCCCAGTCCTCTCACATTTCTGCAATGGCCTATTGTGATGTGTCCCGTGTCTCCTTCACCAAGAAGGAGCCAACCACAGTGTACTAACTTCTTACTAACCGAGCACAAGGGCCGTAAAGGGGAATATTGGGTCAAGATTGTGGCAGTATGGACCAAGCATGGGGACATCTGTACAAAAATAACCAAGGACCAATATTCCAGGCAGTACGACTGGAGCAAGCAAGATTAGTAAGTGGTCTGTCATATGGAAATTGGATTAAACTACTTTATTTTATAAAAAAATTGACTAATAACTGTTTCTGAGGACAGGTTCTGTATGGCAAAATCCTGACCAAGAAAGAACCAATCAGAATGTTCAGATTTACAGGACTGCCTTGCAATATAATAAAGTTAAATAATGAACCTTGACTCACGCTTTGTTTGGCAGATTGACACCAACATCAATAAGCTGCAACCTTTTATCTTCTGGAACTGTCACTATTTCATTTGGACCTTGAGGAAGTCGCCTGTTCCTTCGACCCCTTATGTTATTATTATACTGGTTCATTCCATAGGGATAATTAGCAAGCTGTGGAATTGGCATTACATACGAGGATGGAAACATTGAAGGAATAGAGACTTTACTCCTGCGACTTCCTCCTCCTCCTCCTTGTGTATTAGCTGGTTCAACTTTGATGTACCTGTCATAAAGCTTTGTTCCATTCAGCTGAAGTAAGTGACCTGGAGTACAATGGAGTCTCAAAGTTTTATCTATCTTGCAACCAAGGTGATGGCACAGTTATAGTTCTGCTGCCTATGCCTGGCCGAGTCATTGTTGTGTTGTATTCTTGGGCAAAACACTTCTCTCTCAAAGTACCTCTCTCCACCCAAGAGTATCAACAGGTTCTCGTGAATTGTTAGGGAGGCATGATGAAATACAGGGGGGGTACCCTTGCAATGGACTAGCATCCCTTCCAGGGCAGAATAGTTATACAACTAGTTGCTTCATGCTATGGAAACTGACATAAGCTCCAGCTGGGGATGGGGGGAGGGGAGGGGGGGAAGGGAGCAAGCACTTGGCTTGAGAACAGACTTAATCTTTATCATTGTGCTCAAAACTTACCTGCCAGTTGCTCTGGTACATTAATAAATCCAAATCCATAAGAAGTTCCTGGACGTTCCACAGATAATTCAATCCATGAATTTGATCTCAAGTAAGGTGTGCTATCTAAACCAAAGTGACGGCGAAGATCATCTTTAGTCACTTTCAAAGAAAGATTGCCTGAAACACAAACAAAGTATGGATCATATTAAGCAAAAAACAACAGCACACGCTTGAAATGCAAGGCTCCAAAAGAAAATAACAGGAATTTTGAAGGTCTTTTGTGTACAACTCTCTGCTAATTTTGAGTCAAAGGCATCATATTTTTCATTTTCAAATTCTTCTACAGAGAGGCATGAGAAATTGGCCAGTAGGCATTTGTTGACATTGGAGGGGAGTTTTTTAATCTGCTGGCGTTAGAAACACGATAGGTTGTGAAAATCGGCAGCCAGTAGAAGAGTGCATTAATAAAAACAATTATTACACCACTCGGGCAGTTAGAGGGCCAGCAACTAAAATCAACAAATCAAAATGCTCAATTGCCGGTCAATATTCTTTCAGTATTGGACTGGGCACTGTCCCGAATGGTCCCAAATTATACCGCACTTGTGTCCCTTTGAACTTCAGTCGTGCAATAAATCTCTTATTAACCAAGCTTGCTCGGGACCGTACTGGAAGAATATCGGCCCTCAGTCTTTTTTGTACGGACCTTGCTGCGCTCGGTCCGTACTGTCAAGACCTCGGGCCGATATTCTCCCAGTACGGCCCTCGTGCTTGGTTAATAAGATATATATATTCTGACCTCAGGAACTACAATCATTTGTCGGGATGTGGAATGATGAAGCCACTGCCTGGTGAGAGGTCAACTTAATCTTCAAATTTCCTAAACATCACGTGTTGGATCAGCACACGTAAAAAGGGGTTTGCACAAGTACAGAATGTCGAGTGAAGTTTCATGTTTCATCGCGAGAGAACTAATCTCAAGCTAAAGAGGAATAACCATGCCAAGGCCAAGATCGCAATCATCTCTCTGTAGTTTTATTAAACTCTAGGGTTTATCATTCCATCAAAATCGCTTTCTGTAGCTCTTTAGAAAGGTCATAATGCTCTTAGCTGTTTCAACGTCATCGAGAGATTTCCGTGCTTTCTGTCTTAATTAATTTCGAAACTGTGACAACCACAACAACACGGCCAAATAATTCGAGTGAGAGGATTCAGTGGCTACATAATAGCGCGAAAAGCATGAACTCGACTTGACAAACAAAATAAAGCTGCTCATAACGACCACAAAAAAGAGACGGCTGGAGATTTAGAGCACAACACCTGAACGCCTGTCACAACATACAAGCTCGGCTATGCCGATGTATTTAGTTCCAGTTTACAGAACGCTAACTGCACCTACCTATGTAAAATCGTCTATTTGTTGACATTCTTGTAGAATAGTAGAAAAAGGAGACTTGCAAGCGAGGAAATGGTCGCGGAGAGAGTTCTGCGATAGCCAGGCGAAGTTTGGTAGAGTCACGTGTAGTGGAATGGAGCAAGCAGGGGTGCCTGAGCAACTTTACAGGAAGTTGGCGGGAAAATGACGTAAACACTGGATCCAGAGCTCAACCGTGCAAAACAAGGAATGCCTGGGGGATGTTTTACACCTGGCGAGTTACCATGTCTTAATTTGCTACTTTTACAGAATTTGACGATTTATGAAGAAAATTAATTGTTAAAAGCCAAGGTATGCCTCTTATTCGTCCCAGACATGTGTTATCATTTAGCAGCGAAGATACGGTAAGTTCGATTTGTTTCGCTTTCCTTGTGTCACGCGGCCATATCTTAATCTAGAAGTTGAATCGACAACTTCCCCTTCCTAAACATTAAATATTGATTTCACAACTTTGTTCTTCCTAGACACAACCAGCACAGAACCTGCTTAAATCAGAAACGTATAGAAAATGGAGGTGTGCTTCTCCAGGAGAGAAACAAGCTTCAGTCATTTTGGAGGTAAAAGTTTTGATAGAAATGATATTTGTGCAACTTCAAACACACTGAATGCCTGTATTATTTCCATTGTGGTAAAACTTTGTATACTCTTGTATGATGTTAAGACTTAAATTTTTTTTCCATTTCAGCTTGAGAAGGCAATGCAGATACACTCCATTGATATTGGTCAGCATCTTTTCCTTCTAGAAGTAGTTATAATATGAATCTTGAACTAAAAAACTATGAATAAAAGGGGTAAGTTTCTAAAGAAACTGTGGTGCTACGTTGGTGGGAGTGACAAGGTAATTTGATTATATCAACTAAGTTGAAATTGTAAATTGGCGACCATTAAGAGTTAAATGCTGACATTTCAAGCATTAGCCCTTCGTCAGAGCAAAAGGCTAACGCTCATAACATCAGCTTTTTAGCTCTTTATGGTGGCCAATTTACAATTTCAACTTAGTTGATATAACCAAAGTAAAAAACTATGAGCTTAACTTAACAAGCTTTTCTCCCTGGATGTTGTTGTCACCCATTACAAACAATTCAGTCAATAATTTTTGCTCTTCGCTGCCACACATTCCCACATAAATTTCTTGAGAGAATTTAATGCAAGATCAAGATTATGTCCTCTGGTCATCAAGTCTGTTTATTTTAATCTCCTGTCAGGTAGACAGTGTTTTGAAATTGTAAGAAGAGTTATTACTTTCAGTGGTGAAAGGGTAAAAGGCTGCTTGCCATTAAGTATGAGAGATATTAAAAACTGGGTCATTGGATGATGCAATTCAAGACTTTTTATTGGCTTAGCCATTATTATTATATACCATAATCTACAAATATGGTAAGCATATACATCAGCTTAAAATTAAAAGAAAGCTAAAAAATTTAAGATTTGGTAAGATTTGTCTAATATCTTGAGGTGTTTTTAATAAAACATTTATTCCACTCACGCTTGTTGGATATGAGATGATTATAGCCAACTTGGAGCAACATGCCTCATTGGCTATCTGTCATCTCATATCCAATGCGTGCTTGTGGAATAATTGTTAAATATTAAAAGGTATTCAATGCTGTTTACTTTACATTGATCATAATTATCTAGGTAACAATGGTTCAGCATTAGTGGAAGTATTAGTTGGACGATCTTCTTGGAGCTCTGATGAACAATTTCAGGTGAAATCCAAGTTTTCAAAAGAATTTTTTGCTTTGTTTTATTTTTATACATTTCACTTGTTTGTTTGCTTGTGTTGCATAATTTTTGTACTGTGCAGACAAAAACAAGAGCATTGTATTTAATTTGGTTTTTAAGTGTTTCAAATGTTTGCTTTTTAATTTATAGTTTTGATAAAAATAACCAGTGATAGGAAGCTTGTTGAGAGTGTTATTATATATTATTGTTAGGTTCTTCTTGTTGCATCATCTTTTATGAGCCCAGCTGAAAGTAAATCTTTTACCAACACCAACAGAGTGAGGATGTTTGGTAGGCCTGAGCAATCTTTTTATTTTTGATTGCCCCAGAGTTTGGATTTGGCAAATAATGTTGTAGTGTATTGTGTCAGATAACGTTACTTGATGTTACCACTGGAAGGAACTTCCTATCACTCAATCATGTTGTAAATTTACCCTCCTTAATAAAAGTGAAGTAACTTATTACAAGTATTGTATTGTGAATATACTGTCTTGTTTATTGAATAAAGGACAGTTAAATTTCTTTAGAGAAATGAGTGAGAAGTCACCTGACCAATGGATACTCTACAAATGTTTCATTGTTCCATAAGCTTTCAAATTTTTAACCCACTACCAGAAAGGAATGTCAAACAGATTGAAAGTGAATTCACCATTGATTCAAATGTACTGCATTACATCCACTGATACTTTTGAAAACATGGTTCTATCTTGAAGTTGACAATTTTGAATTTTTTTTCACCTCTCTGCGAGATATGGTAAGTCAAAGTGACCTGATCTCCACTGAGATTTACAGGGTTAGGCTCTATTTTCTTGGTTAGTATTTAACAATTATTTGCCAAAGGTGAGGTGAATAATTGTTTAAGTATAATTACAGAGCTGAACAACAGAGAAATTTCTAAAATCATAACATTTTAGTAACATTTATTAACATTTTATTTTAATATTTTATATAAACCACGTGGAGTGGTTTATATAGCTTCATATTAGGAACCGCTCGACCAATCAGATCGCTGGAAACTCTTTGCTCAGCTCTGAAATTATACTAAAACATTATGATTAGTGTGCCCATATAACTCTAAGCTCATCAGATTTTATGCCTTTTGCATTTTTCTTTCTATTTATTTATTTGAAATTAATTAATATTCAATTCAAAATATTCTCCCTAAATATTTAACTTTATCGTCAGGTGTTGATAAGCTCTCTAAACCAATTGCTACTCAGAAATGGGACCGGATCAAGTTAGTGTGCACCCAACCATTTAATAAGGTAATACACATCATAGGTTTTCTATGTGAAAGGATTATAAAATGGCTAGAAAATTAAACCTAACCTGTATTTAGATTAAACAACACTTTTTCAAACTGGAGATGATTGTCTTATTCAATAAAAGGAAAAGACAATTTTACTACATATAAAGCACATCTTGACTTGTGAAACTATGATATAATTGAGAACTTGGTTAGAGATCAAGGCAGTATCTTCAAATTGATGGTTTTTTGTATTCTCATCACCAAGGGGAGCAGGGATGGTGCAGTGGTGAGAGCATTCAATTCCCAGACCTGGTATCACATGTGGGTTGAGTTTGTTGTTGGTTCTCGTCCTTGCTCTAAGGGTTTTTCTCCAGCTCCTCTGGTTTTCCTCCTTCTGCAGAAACCAACATTCCAAATTCCAATTCGATCTGGCAACAGTGAACAAGAAGCGCCACCTAGTGGAATGTCCATCATTAAATTATTTATTTATTATTTATTTACCTGTAAACTGATAGAATGTGTGGCTCATTGCTCAGCAAGATGATAACAGTTCATCCTCTAGAGTTATATTTGAAACAGATGTTTTTACTTTTCCAATATAAATTTTCAAGAGGTAAACCAAGCGAGTACCATTATCCTCAACATAAATGGCATTAAAAGTTGATATTAATTTGATATCAGTCACACTCCACTTTTCAGTAGGGAAAAATTGTAACAAGGAAAAGGTAACGTGCAAATTGACAAAGATGATGAAATCAATACATTTGTCCTCAGTTAATAAAGATAAAAAAAAAAACTGCAACAGGTTCCTTTTTGATTATTCTTGCCATCCTTTAGAATGAACGGTATGGTCTTTCCTTTATAAACCTCCACTCTCCCCCTGATGACATGGATGAGTACTCTTTAGCTACAGAGAAAGCAAAGCCCCACACTCCAATGACTGTGAGTATCAAAAATCATTATTGTGGCAAAGAAATTTTCACTTTTCATCTCTCTGCACCGCTCCTTGGCAAGACTTTTTATTAAAGTTTTAGAGAGATTGTGAATGATTATTTTCATAGTCCTACTTGTGTGCAACCTTGATTTCTACAATTTAAAAAAAAAAATTATAATAAGCTTTATGAGAAAAATAAATCCCTAAAATCAAACAAATTGAATTCTACCCAAGGCATCTGTTAAAGCGTTACTCACTTGTTAACCCTAACAAGAATGCTTATTATGGGTGACAGAGTTGCTTGGACCTTCAACCATGAAAGCTTTCTTAAATAACTGATTTTCTTAGTGTAGGATGTCTAATAATAAGCATCATGAGAAAAATCCCTAAAATCAAACAAAGTGAACTCTACCCGTCTGTTAAAGCATTACTTACTTGTTAACCCTAATAAGAATGCTTATTATGGACTGTAGAGTTGCTTGTACCTGCTACCATGAAAGCTTTCTTAAATTATTGATTTTGTTAGTGTAGGATGTCTTTGAATGAAGGCCAGTAGTTGTTAAATCTAGTGAACGTTTTGATGTTTAATTCCTCTTCCCAGTGATCGGCTTACTTCTTCTGGCAAATATGCTTCAGTTGTATCATGTTCTTGGCTCATTCTGTAGCAGAATATGGCCAATTTCTTGGAAAATTTATTTTAGACCAATATGATCATGATTTCTCTACGATAATTTCAGGGTTCAAAGAGACTTGGACGCTTCACATTAAAAGATGATAGTGATAGCGAAGAGCAAAAAATTTCCTCTGGAAATCTGTTTTTCAAAAAACTTCAAAAGAAAACCTCTCCACCACCCATGGCCACCGCAGCTGAAGTGCGAGCAGCATCATTGGCTACCAGCTCTTCAGTTGACAAGAGAACAATAGCTGCCAGCACTGCTCAAAATCACAGACACCCATCAACTAAGGATGGACAGTTAGGGACCAAAGGTACACCCTCAGTAGCCTCAGACAGACAACCAGTTGCTAGAGACAGAGCAGACAAAATTGAACGAAGATCTTCCCCAAAACCGGATGAGAAATCTTTTCAAAGGAAAACAACTGAGGTAGGTTCTTACTGGCGGGTTCTTATTGGCGGGTGACCGCCTCCCGGTTAGCTCAATGGATAGA